TGTCATCCCTGATGTTTCATCTTCGCTTATTAAGGCTTCATCTGCTCGGCAAATTCAAATTTTAAGCCGAAACATCAAAGGTCATCAAACACGTGCATTCTCAAAATTCGCGAATGAAGTTAGCAAATATTTCCTTTCAAAATTGCTGTATTATACATAAAACATAACAAGATTCTTACCTGGATATTACTCAATCATCCCTGATCTTTCATCTTCGTTCATTCACGGTTGATAAGGCTTCATCGGCTCGAAATATCGAGCGAAATATTGTAACTTCGAAATCACGAACTGATTATAAAAAATGGCGGGGTGTAAATTCAGTGCTTCCACTTCCACTTTCAAAAAAATAATTTCCTTCCCAACTGCTCAAAATTTCCTTATTTTTGACAAAAATTCCTTTGATGAAGTTGAATTTTACCTAGTTTAAAACCGATATTACAATAATTTATCCTGAACGACGGTGTATTTCTCGGGTGAGAAACACCATGAACCTTGCAATTATAAATTATAAATTAATTATAAAAAACTGCAACAGGAGGCTTGAGGTCATGTCTCAGAAATTTTTCAGATTTTCCATTCCCCAGGAGTAGGATTTGGATTTTTGACATTTCCTGACGCGAATTTGGTTGGGAATTGCTATAATCTTAGGATTTATTAGAAATAACATAATATCCTTATTTCCTTGCTGAAAACAAAATTCCTTGCCGTTTCCTAGTAAATTTTATTTCTTTTTGCAAAGAAATTTCCTTGCAAGTGGAAGCACTGCATGGGATGACCAGTGGGGATGACGCTGTACGCATTAGTTCAAGCCTCCTCCTTTTCTCACCCTCCGCCCCTCACCCCCTTCCATTATTAATGATTGGTCCCTTATCTGTGTAAATGTAAAATACGGTTCTATTTTATTTCATTTTGCTAAGTAGGAAAATTCAGTATGTTTAATTTAAATAGACTATTTTATACATATCTGCAAATTGTAATCCTGAATCCCGGTAAATGTAAAATAGGATTAAAATAGTGTATTTTATTATATTTTGCAAATTAGGGAAAGTAAATAGGTTTAAAATAGTATATTTTATCCCTATTTGAAAAATGTGGCAATTTTAAAAATGTGCAATAGGTTTAAAACAGTCTATTTTATTCTGTTTTGCGTATTCTGAAAAATAAATAGCTTTAAAATACCATATTTTATATCTATTTTAATTTATGTAATATTCTGCACGTGCAAAATATGTTTAAAATAGTCTATTTTATTGTTATTTTGCTAACTATGAAAGAAAGATAGGATTAAAATAGTATATTTTATTCCTGTTTGAAATTTGTGCATTTAACTTCCAATGTAAAATAGGATTTAAACAGCCTATTTTATTTTATAAGTTTAAAAATAGTATATTTTATATCTATTTTAATTTCTAGCTGCTTTCTGGTGAAGTAAAATAGAATTTAAATAGGCTATTTTAAACCTATTTTTTCCCTGAGGCTCTGGAAAATAGTATTAAAATATGCGATTTTATTTCTATTATCTATAAAAATAGGAATAAAATAAAATAAAACATTAATAAAATACGGCTCTTTCTTTTAGTGAAATATTATGATAGAATTAAAATAGGGTTGCCTCTGAATAAAATAGCATAAAAATAGGGATGATAGTAATAAAATAGTTTTAAAATAGCAATATAATATAGTTATTTTCGCAAGGGATATCGGAGTGTATAACTATTTCTATAAATTTCATTTACTCTACTCACTAGTCTTTATAGACTACAACAGGTCTACAACTAATAATTACATGAGCAAAGTCTAAGATATAAAATATATAGGAGATTAACTTACATATTTCTTTAAATAATATAAACACATATGGCATGCCAATGGCTATCAAATAGTATGAGTGGCCATTGATAGCCACTCACACTATTACCAGCAAATATATGGTAATATATTCGAAACGCATGAACTGTGTAAAATTCGATATGTTATTTACATATTTAATATACTATTCATGAGACTGACCTGACACGGAGGTGATTCAAACAGCGCTGTTCTTCACAGTTCACATCGCGGGAAATGCAAATTATGCCAATAATCGCACACCAAAAGCTTTCGATCAGAATTCTTTCGCGCATCTTTTCGTTAAATGAAACACGTTACATTCGTTCATTATACACAGAAGATCGTGGAGTGGATCTGTAGATTGTAGTCCTGTAGAAACCATATCTTTCTCCTTGCAACGAGCGGCGATTAAAATTTACCGACTATTCGATTACAACGAGTAGCCGACACGACAATAACAAGCCAGGCTTAGCCAGCATCGCTCTGAAGTCGATGCGACTATTGCAATTCAAACAGTAGCATTTTGCCTCATTGTGATTGGCTTGCTTCGTCTGACCGTAGCAAACCAATCAGCACGCCGTATTTGCGAATTTTTGCAACGGTCAGTTTCAATCTGACCGCTGCAAAAATTTCCAAATACAGCGCTATGATTGGTTTGCTACGGTTAGACGAAGCAAGCCAATCAGAATAAGCAAATGCTACGACTTCAGAACGATGTGATATAGTACTAGTGCAAAACCCGCAAATACCGGCAGTATTTCGGGCGGAAATTTGAGAAAAACCCGAATTTAATTATCCAAAATGAAATAAAAACTCGATAAAATTGTATCAATATGATTTAGTAAATTTTAAAAAAAATGCACCAAGTTTCAATGAAAATAACGGCAATTAAATATAGTATAACGTTTTAGTTTTTAATAACTTTAAAAAAGGTACAACCTGGAAAAATATATCTCAGGAAAATTCCGAAAATCTGACCGTAGCATATGCTACGGTTGCAACGGTCTGAATCCGCCCCTGAACGTGTAAGATCGGTCTTTGGTGAGGTACGATTTCATTTTGTCATTAGATACAAACGCTCACTTTGTGTGAAGCGAAGTGTACGATATTTCTTTGGTGGGGCAAGCTTTCATTTGGTCATTCGAAACAAAAGCTCGCTTTGGGTGAAGTGCACGATATGCTTTGGTGGAGCATAATACCTCATTTTGGGTAAAGCAACGTGGAAATGTGTTTTGGGTGCCAGGCATGCAACATTCCATTTATAACTTAAGATATTTATCGTGCGTGTACATGCGTGTTAAGACACTTTTGGTGATGTAACGTGCATGTTTCGCGATATTGCTTTAAGAGCAGTCTTTTAGCTTTTCATCATTTTCCAAGGGAGGGGTTTTTCTGAGCATTGTAGAGAGAGAGGGAATATTCTCGCTTTTGAAGTCTGATCGTCATGGTGTCTTTGTAATATTTTCTGCCTATGGTGCTGTTTAAGGAGCCGGAGTCCGCCGGGGCTGGAAATTATTTATCCCCAATCTGAATTCCCTCAGTCAAAGGTATTGTGCGAGGAAAGCGAGCAGTGAGAATATATTACTGTTCTCGCTGGGAGTTTTCTCTCACAATACCATACACTTTGAATATTTATGCATGAGATGATCAGTTAGTCATTCATATACACCAAGTGATTGTCAGACAGTATAAAAATAGCACAGAATCGGTATCGTTTTGAGCATTTGCGGTTTGCCATCGAAAAAGAAGGACGGCGATGAAATTTTTTGGGATCCACCCACATCCCCTCGGCTGCGACACTTCTGGACCTAGCTTCGCCGCACTCTACCTTCGGCTGAAAATTATTTATCCCCAATCTGAATTCCCTCATTCAAAGTTATTGTGCGGGGAAAGAGAGCCTTGCATAGGACAAAAATCTGATTGCGCATGCCCACATGGACTAGTTTCAGGACTCGTGAAAACTCATATGAATAAACATGGCAACGAAATCAAAAGTTAGTCAGAACATGGGTCAGAAAGGTAAAAACTACTTCACCGAAGAAAAATAGAGGGATTGTTTTGCCCGATGAAGCGACAGAAGTATTGATTGAACTTTGGGGAGAGGAAACTATACAGATTGCTTTAGAAAATGCTAAATGTGCGAAAAAGCCCGTGAAGAATATCGAAGAACAACGGTAAATTTGACAACAAATTTTAGCTTGCTAGTTGACAGTCGAGAAAACACGTCATATAAGAGCAGAACTGGAAAGAAGAAGCCATGGAAATATTTTGGTAAAATGGATGAAATTCTTGGAACAAGACCAAATACACGACCCCCTAAGGTAATAGACACCTTATGAACATGCTGGATATGACATTGGTCACATTGCCAGTGATAGTGATAGTGAAGGAGACCATGAAAGTATAAACGACGGTGTGTTTTATTTTAATAATATCATTTAAATGTATCTACCTAATGCAACCACTGGCGGACACTAGGGGGGGGGGAGGGCTGAGCCCCCCCCCTATAATTTTGAAAGACTGTAAAAATCTTGTACCAAATAACACAAATCACACATATAATGTAATTGTCATATAATACCATTAATTAAAACATTGTAATTTAATACCATTATTTAAAACAGTGTTTTGAAAACCTAGTTTCTTACAAAATGTGCTCTCAGAATGCTGCAAATGCCATTTTCGGGATCAAAATTTTAAAAATTTTCCGGGGAGCATGCCCACGAGCCCCCCAATATTTCATAAAGTGTCCGATCCGCCACTGCATTTGACTTTGCAGTCTTTGCTCTGTGGTTTTATGCATTGGGATATATGGATGTTTTCTGGAATGACCCATTTGTAGGACTGTTATGATAGATAACAATATATCAATTTTTTCAGACACAGGCGAAACAAGTGAAAGAGTGAGTGACATAGTTGAACAGCCTGACCAAACCAGTAAATATGCTGAAGAAGCTCCAAATTGTTCTGAAACCGCTGAACAGGACAATTCTGAAAACCCAAGTAGCAGCATCAAAGAAGACACATCAATTGTGATTTGTAAGCAGCCGATGGTAAAAAGAAAGAAAATGAGCAATTTTGAAAGGGAAATTGCATTAATGTGCAAAACATTAAATGAAACATCTGAGAAGGAAATGAAGAGGTTAGCGGTTTATATATTTCCACATGTGAACAACCCCAGGATAGCCATTTGTAGGATCATCAGGGAAATGCTAATTCCGACGATCTACAGATTTCCAAAATTTTCTCACACCGCATCAACCATGGTGGCGCCTCGAAGGAAATTTGACCCTTTAAGTGGCAATGCACCCTGATGCGCCCTAGTATTTTACTCTGTCTAACGCCAGAAGATTTTACTCGTCCAGTGGAAAGACAGTGCTGCCACTCGATGAATGGTCAATAAATATAGTTTCCCCAAATACACGACACATGGAGACCACTACATTCCTCACCCCAGACTGCTGCTAGCTAGATGTTCTTTATTTAGTTTATTGGGGGTTATTTTGAACCTTTCTAACTCCATGTTTCGTTAGAGTTAAATTAACCCCCAACTAACCACTAATTGTAATTCGAATTTTATATGTTAGTAAAAATTGTTAGAATTTGTTGACAAAGTTTCCTCGTGTATATAGAAATGGATGGTGTCGGCAATGGGGTGGGGGGAGTGGGGGGTTAAAAATTAGCGGAAGGGTGTCAAAAATTAGCAATAACCACTACAGGGGCCTAGAAAAAAGAACTATTTTCAAGATGTCTTCATCCCCCTCGCACAATCAAATGCTTTGATTTGTTATGTGCTACACCTTCATGTGCTTTATTTAACTTAATTAGCTTTATCTTGTTCTTTAATTACGTTTGGCAGAAGTTTAAAAACAGAAAATGAAGGGTATCAAAAAGAAATGGATTTCCAATTAAAGATCTAGAAAATCAACGTCGATTACAAGAGAGGGAACATGAAATGAGAATCGTTAGCCTTTTGATGGGAAATAACAGGCAAAGCCAAAATGTACCACAGCCATTAAGCCAGTATCGCCGAAACCAGTTACAAGATAATTTTAATGGTTTCTCACATAATTCATCTTATATCAACCAACTCAACTCAACTCCTTTGAATATATCTGATATTTTATCAGACACTGGTTGATCATCAAACATTGAGGAGGGTTTCCATTCCTATTATTCTCTATGAATATTGTTGTTATAATGTATTTGGTTATATTTTATTACTGTTTGAATGTGTACAAACAGGGGTACATCAGTGGTGTATAAGAGGGGGATCGCTTTTAGGTAAAGCATCCCTTACTTACGTTCATGGGATTTGCTCTATAAAACTATTTCCGTTAAAAAGTTTTTCACAAACTCGTATGCATTTTGCATCAACTTTAGTACATACCTAATACAGACATTGTTTCAATTGAAAATGCCTTTTATAATTTCTGAGAGATCATCCTTGGTTATATGCCATGGAGAGCCTTTATATAAATTCAGTTAGGAACAACTGCAGTACGTTGTTATAGTTGTAATTTACCAATACATCAATAATTACTGTATTGTTTAATAGATCAAATTGTTGGGTTTTTCATTTTATGTTTGTGTTGTTCATCAAAATTGAACTGAATAAATATACAATAGCATTAGAACTTTTTCATCTTCCAAAGGGTTTTTTACCCTGTCTAACACCATGCAGATGATTTGACATACAAAAGGGTAATATCACTTGGTGATGATAAATTGTGAATTTAAGGCATATTGATTTCCTGTTTGTTTTTTCAATAATATATAAATTGTATTTCTGGTACACATTAATGTGTGTGTTTGGAACAATAAAGACAAACAATACTACATAAACAAATATATAATTTATGCCACGTACAATATTAATTAAATCAACTATGTGAAAGCACACTTATAGAAATTGACTTAATAAACAGTCCATAACAGACTGTTCATAGAACAAATTTAATGTTGACATCAACATTTGCACTAGGTGTAGGAAACTCTTTATAAGGGTATATGTCTAGTGTTCATAAAGGAAGACAAAGTAAATAAACTGGGGACTTAGTAAACGAAATTCTGATCACGGTATGTAAGTCAACATCGTTTAATACTTTTGAAAACAGCGGGAAAGTGTGTGTTCAAAATATCCCTGTGCTTAATAGTCGGGACACTGATGGCATGACTAATTCATCACACACACAAACCTCGTACGTTTCGTGTAGCGCAGATAAAGATATGTGCAAACAACCGAGTCCGAAATATGTTGATCAATCTTCCCAAACTGTTGATCCTAACATCGAACAATGTTTGTGTGTTGACTTGTTATCTGAGTTTGGTAACATGAAAATCAATTTCGAAATTATATTAACCAGAGTGGATGCTCTACAATCGCTGGCAAATACGCAAGCCATATATTTTAATAATGACAACATTGCGCATCTTGAATCTGTGCTCGATGGGGAGGGAAGAAAAAGTACGAAATCAGAACCCACAATAAGTCTAATGGAGAAGGAAAAGAATTCTGAAATTGAGGCACTTAAAAGCAAAATTAATTCCTTGGACATGAAATTGAAAAAATGTTTAAAGGATTATGATGCTAACTCAAATCAATCACCTATTGTTATACCTCTAGTGCCTATTGTCTCTCCACAACCGCCTATTGTTCCACCTCAAGCGCCTATTACTCCCTCGTTGCATGTTAACAAAAGGGATCAAGATCAAACCCTCGAATTGCAAATATCAGGTCATGCCAATAAAGAGTTCCTGAATAAATTACCGCTGTGTGATACTCAAGGTTTTAAATATAAACAAGTAAATAACCAAAAATAATTACTGACGGTCATAATAACCTATTGTTTTCTGTCTGCTTTATATCAGCGAATGTCGAGAAGTTTTAGCGTTCTTCTGAAAAACGGGAGCGGTGTTTTTTGATTGTAGGGAAATTCCCAGGGGTAAATGTTTATACGGGCTAAAATAGCACACAGCATTATTAAAAACAATGCAGCGTACACACAGCATTATTAAAAATAATGCAGCGTGCACACAACATTATTAAAAATAATGCAGCGTGTATCAGTGCACACAGACATTATTCACAATCCTTCGTCATCCTGACAAGTACACGCGATAACGTGAACATCTCAAGATGAGAAGTTGACAGTGCTAAAGGCCCCTCATACAATATCATCGGGCGCCTGAAGCACTGCCAAAACGGTCACTGTGAGTCCTTTCAGCTCAACTTTATAGAGAAATAGTTTCGTTTTTACGCTTGTGGGATTTTATTCTAGATATACGCATGTGCAGAACACACCATTAATTCTATTCCCGTGTTTATCCAGTTTAATACGCTCTTTGAATTAACCTTATCATTAATGATAATATGTAAACTAGAACACTATAATTGACCTCCGCTTGTGGAGATTTTAATTTAGGGCGATTAATTAAACTGAAATCTGTTCTATCACGATTCATTACATGCATGTCCTCACAAATGTCTAGTGTAACGTTGGATAGATTCATTGTCATACGGTCCCAACAAGCAGCAACGTAGTCTTCCAGCCGAAAATAATTACTTTTGATTCGGGTCAGTAATTATAATAGATAATTACTTCGGCCAAACGGCATTATTCGATATATTGCAGCCAGCTTCGGCCTTCGGCCTCAGCTGGCTGCAATACATCGAATAATGCCGTTGGCCTCAGTAATTATCTATTAATGAAACATCATTATTACCGCAGCACGTTATGACTCCATGCCAATCTTTGGAATCAAATAGTCCCCTTTTATCCATCAGATCTAGGAAATTTTTAGGAAAAATTCCAAATGGTCTCAGACACGGTATATATCAATCTAAAACCTCAAATCTGGAAACATCATTATTACCGCAGCACGTTATGTCTCCGTGCCAATCTTTGGAATCAAATAGTCCTCTATTATCCAACAGATCGAGGAAATTTTTAGGAAAAATTCCGAAAGGTCACAAACACGGTATATATCAATCTAAAACCTCAAGTCTAAGGGATTTTAGGCAACCTCAACGTAAAATTGCTCCTTTTCGAAAGAGCCCTGCCAATTATCGACCCCCGCGTATTGTCTTGGAAAAACAATCTATGGAATGGGCAGTTTATCTACAATTTGTGAGTCAAATTACTCATAAATCAACACTAGTATAGAACCACCCAAGAGTTTTACATCATGTGAAGCGGAACTGACCGAGTCCAATTACCGAATAGAAACTTTCGAACATGAGTTTACAGAAATTAATAAAACCAAAGAATACTTGAATAATTTATCGGAAAATTATAACACCACTTGCATTTCGAAGGCTTCAAACATCCCCTCATGTCCTCCTAAAAACCTTACAGATTCCCACCAGGTACCTTCTACCATGATCCCCGTTCGGATTACTGCACGTGATTACCGATCTATCCGCAATTATAATTCTGGCATACTCAGTAATTGTCGTAACCTTCGGAGAATTAAATTAGGCAGCAATGACTCGTATACCTTCTTACCCTACTTGTTCCTATCCAACTCGAGGTCATTTTGTCAATAAAATCGATGAGCTGTCTGGAACTGTTTCTTTGCTTTCTTTGGATATTCTGGTCATTACGGAAACTTGGCTTTCTCCTAACGTCAGCAATTCAGCGATAAATCTAAATGGCTTCGCCATATTCAGGCGTGACCGACGTGATGGTAGAAGAGGTGGAGGTGTTTGTGTCTATGTAAACGATCGTTTGCCAGTGGTTCATCTTAAGGAACTTTCACATCCCGAAGTTGAATCGTTATGGCTCCTAATAAAACCAAGTCGACTACCACGAGGAATTAATTCAATCATTTTAGCTGCAATTTACCATCCACCGAAAAGCGACGATAGGGTCTTGTTAACACACCTTATTGAGTCCCTCGACAGTGCATTAACATCCTATCCTGCGTCAGCTATCATCATTGCAGGCGATTTTAACCAATTTAGGCAGAGTCAACTATGTAACTTGTTTTCCCTTAAACAGGTTGGTAAGCATGCAACAAGAGGATCCAACATCTTACATAAAATATTTACAAATGCGTCCAAATTTTATAACGTTCCTGAGATTCTCCCACCTGTCGGTTTCTCTGACCATAACTCAGTGTTGATAAAACCGCTGAAGCAATGTATGAACTCCCGGAGTACTCGAATGGTCAGAGACACGCGATCCTCTAATCGGAAGTTAGTCTTCGAGGCTTTGTCAAGTATAAATTGGTCTCCCCTGTATAGTATGGACTCTTGCAACGATAAGTTTCATTACTTTTCATTCATTGTTAATGGCATTGTCGACCAGTACCGATGAAACGTATAAAATCGGATAGTTGTGATAAGCCCTGGGTAACATCTGAGATCAAAAGATTAATCTCCAAACGTCAAGCAGCTTGGAATAGCGGAAACAATATCATGTTTCGTGACACTTTCGTCTCTACAGAAACAAATTAAATACGCTTTGCAAGAGAGCTAGTTCAAGATTTTACAACAGTAATGTCGCTGATTGCTTTGAATCAAATCCGCATAAGTGGTGGTCCAACATAAAAAACATAGCTGGCCTTGGTACAACGAAAAATGTTTCCACTATCAATCCATACTTATGGTGAACGACCTGAAGGTCTCTGACGATTCTGTTAAATTCGTAGACGACACTACTTTATGGGAAATAATTACGAGCGCCCAATCGTCTGCTTCAGTCTTACCGGCACAAATTAGTGAATGCTCAAGTTGGGTGGCCAAAAACAATATGAAATTGAATCCCACTAAAACCAAGGAAATTCGAGTATGTTTTTCGACTTATGATACTGCAGCACTTCCTCCACTTATCGTTGATGGCTGTAACATTTCTGTCGTGTCACATGCTAAACTACTCGGATTAATCATCTCCGAAGACCTCAAGTGGGTTCTTCATGTTGATTTCATTTGTAAGAAAGCTGCGAAGCGTCTGCATGCTACGATTATTAAAGAGATCTTCCATTCCATCAAGCAAGTTAGTACGAGTGTTTAATACATGCATTAGACTAATTTTAGAATACTCGTGCGAAGTATGGCATCACAGTTTGCCCCAGTATTTAAGTGATCAGATCGAAAGGATCCAACGCAGAGCCCTACGATTAATCTTCCCAGATTGTTGTAATGATATTGCTATGGACCGCGCCGGTGTGGTGTCGTTATTCATACGGAGAGAGACGATCTGTAAGAGATTTTTTGAACGAATGCGTACTGACGAAGCACATAAGTTACATTCCCTTGTCCCTTCCAATCGGAATACAGAATATTCCCTTCGTGGTGGTAATAACAAACTATCAATACCTAGGTGTAGAACTAATAGATATGCAAATAGTTTCATAATTGCTGGAAGTAATGCTTTATTGCTTTTAACATTAGTAAAACTTAATATAATTAACCATGTAATTATTACTATAATAATTCTTAATCTAATTTATTTTGTATTTTATCCTTTTAATCTTGTAAACCGATGTAATTCAGTCCTTGACTGCTAAATTGGTCTTTTAATAAATCTTTATATTGTTGACAGCTATGAAACAATGTGGGCAGCAAAACATTGTTCAATCCTGTTTTCATCAATATTGCATCAACCTGAGCGTTTTTGCCGTGTAGGTAATATAAGTAAGCATAATACTTGATGTAATCGGTCACTGAAAAGCCCCGATGGGGAGTGAGCTGAATAATCATAATCATTTACGCGAGGGCTAGTTTATCGCGAATATAGTGATAAAGGTAATTAACATTTTAGTGTGGCCTGCCCCTTGAGCAGCCTTATTTTTCAACATTTTGCGAGCCCTGGTCGAGCCCGGAATCCTTTTTAGAGGGAATTACCGAAAAGGAGCTGTCAATACATTTGAAATTGACCGTCATGTGCTTTGCCCTCGCAGCTAGCCACAGTGCACCAATGTGTTTGAAATTGAATTCACTCCGCATTTTTCGCGCAAGTACCGGCCCCAACTCAATAAAATGATTGTTAAATTTTCTGCAATAAGTTCGCGAGTAATTTTTTATGACATTCACAAAAAGTATCATGCATAGGAAGTAATGGACCATTTGCATTATAGACTAAATTTTGATCTAGACAAAAATTTTGGCAGCCCAATCGGGTGTTGGGGCATCAATTACCGTTTGTAATGCAAAATGACTGAAAATTATATATTGCAAATTTCGCAAGGCTATATTATCCGCATTTTACAACATTTCGCAACAAAACTTTGGAATATTACTGATTTTGTGATGCTCTTACAAGCTGTAATGCAATTTTTGTCTAGATCAAAATTTAGTCTATAATGCAAATGGTCCATTGATGGACTTCACAATCCTAATGTGGCTTGCTTGGAAAGCTCTTGTCAATCTAAACAAATAGTCGTCCGGATTATCTCAAAAAGCGTTCACGGTCAGGAATCGACCGGAAGCCAAATGGCTAAGGACTGTCTATTCAATAAGCGTGTTCTTCACACAACAAATAAATTATACTTGTCGATCTCATGCAAACTAAAAAGGAACGCTGGTTTAATTATTTGCTGGTTTACATATCGAAAGGTGTTCAGATAAAATGATTGAGGTGTTTTCCACAAACCAAAAAATAATGCATCGTAGTTTATATACAACAGTATCAACAATAGTAACAGTATTAAAATGTTTCCTCTTTTTATTTTATAGAAATTAAACGTATCCAGTGGTACGTTAAATGCTCAACGATGGACGGGCATGCTGATGAGACTGGTCATATCATATCCTTATGTAAATTTGAAGACAAAAGATACAAGGAACAAATATTGCACGAAGTAATAGCTGCTATCTGCGCTATGCTGAATAGTAGTGGGGGAAAAGTGGTAATAGATATTGATACTGGTCACAACGACATCCCAGTGGAAAGTTCCCGTTTCTCTCAAATATCATCAGTAATTCGAATACTGGAACAATCAATGACATCTATCATTGGATTCCACCAGACCAACTCGAAAATAAAGTTCAAAGAAGATAAAGATCGTATTGTCATTTTCGTCAAACAAGCGGATTCTTTAATAACAACTCGTTTTAACCTTTATTTACCAAGTGATAAACAAGTTGTACAAGTGTCTCCTTTGGAACTGGAAAACGTCAAGGACAATATCATCAACAGAAAAGTCGTTCTGGAACCAGTCGAACGTGGTTCACATTGTGAGATGTTTCTTAAAGGTAAAAACTGTGGTTTTCATGAAACCAAATGTATTCAGTTAAAGCTTCTACAAGCAGCTGCATCAACACGTACCACGCTAGCAGATCGTATGATACGTAAAGGCAATAAATTCAGTTGCTATGTTTCAGCGTTTGCCAATTATAACGGAGGTCATATCTACTATGGTATCACAGATGATGGAGTTGTTGAAGGAGAGTTGACTCCGAATGAGACAGCAGACAAACGTGAGATAACAAATAAAGTTAAGCAGGTCATCAACGAGATGATCTGGCCCAAGCACATTGTTCAACCAAAACGAGGGAAACACTGGGAAATATTCTTCGAGCCAGTGATAGATAAATATTTCAACGCTGTCCCATCAACTTTTGTCATCGTGATCTATATCGCACCTTGTCTGGGTGGTGTGTTCACTGAAGAACCGGAATGTTACGAAATGATGGAGGGTGACGTTAAAAAGATGTCGTTCACCACTTGGATAATGCAAACTTGTTCTCCTCGGAATAATTATACTGGGTGTATAAAAAAGGTAACTCATATTTAGCGTGCTTTTGTGATTCCAGTATTGCGTGTATAGATTTAATTTTTTCATATTAGTAAAGATTGGGTTTAATCCGTTGAATGATACCATTTTTAGTGCAAAGTTGACGAAGTCAAGTTTGTACTATTGTGATGGGGTGCAAGGCATTACGTCATTACGTGACTCAACAATGGATGGATGGATGTATAGTGTAAACAATTTAATCCGGGGGGAGCGCTTGTAAATTATTTCCGTAGCTTTGCAACGTTCGGCCAGCATTCGGCCAGTTCGGCCAGTAGTTCAATTTCTCCTTCATGATATATTCTGAATGCGCAATGAACTAACTTGGAGGCCCACAGATCGGCAAAAAAAATGTAAACAAAACACGCGCATGAGCAGAACGGACTTGGCAGCCTCTTTAATGATATGGTATTACAGTGGTGGCACTTTGCGAAGTATTGCAGGGGAACGATTTAGGTTGCCACCACATTACCAGCATTGGTTGCAAATCTCAGTTTTTGCCCTAAATTTCATGTATATTTGCTTACTAATCTGTAGCCGTTCAATGCTTTCGTGGTTATATGTCCTATTATCCCATTGATGACCCTAGTGTCCGCCATTGCTTCATCAATTTATGAATAGTTTATGAACTAATACTATTAATAAATTTATTTCTAGAAGAATGACGGCAGACTACGCAATAGTACTTCTCGTCCCCGAGATGTAAACAAAACACAGAAAGCAAAACATCAGGTTAAGAATGCAAAGTCACAAAACATCGAAAGAAATTCACAGGTATATACAAGTACGATTCCTGCAATATGATGTTGACATAAGGGTACTCCACTACTTTGGTTTCCTTCTGCAGCAACATTGTACGAATAAGAATATCCGTAGTCTGACTATCAGGTAATTTTCCTTTAAAGGCAGGTGGATAGAATTTAAAGCGAGCCTCACACAAATCCTTACCTGCTGCATGTAAAACAAGCCAAAATGCGGCTTTTCATTTGATTGGTCTGTCAGACAAGGAAATTTTCATCTGACTTTTTGATTGGTTAATGCTGAGATATGATACTGGTATTCATGATATATTGAACAGTTTAATTAATTGAAACAGCTGTATGTACAAACGTTTTCACATGATTAGAACATTAAATAGTATATTTTATTTTCCAGGACAAAACTGAGAATGAAGAACAACAGCAGAATATGAATAAACGTGACTCCGTTGAGCTTGATGTTCAGTCGACAAGCGAATCTCTTCTCGATGAAACGCCACTTGGTGTCCATAATATAGTGGAAACGTCAAAAGCAGGATCTGGAAATGCATCTATGGTCAACATCAAAACTGAGGATGATATTAAAATGGACTTCGAAATGCAAGAGAAAATGGAAGCAGCTAAAAAAGCATGGGATCACAGTTTCTCATCTTGCCCTATACAGACATCCCAGTGGAATGCATTAGTAACGAATGATGAAAATACCGAGTCAGCGGAGGTTTCGGTTGTGGATCAAATCCCCATATCCGCAACTGAATCTGAGGAAAGCTCTGAACCTCTTGTTACAACGCCCAGATTAAAGAAGCCAATAGCCGGTGAACAACAAAATGTTTGTAAAGTAAAACCACAACAGCAGCAGCAACCTGTAAAACCTCAACCTGTTCCTTCTGAAGTACCCGAGGAATACCCGACTGCGACTACAAGACCCGTGTTAGAGAGTCCAGCGCAAGTTAGTTACACCGTGCAACCACATCAAGCGGCTATCTTCACCTCAAAACCAGCACCTCAAGGGTTTACATATTCCTTTGAGCAACAAACACTTGTCCCAATTAGCCATCAGTATGTCCAAACAGATATGTCGAGCATACAGCGACATCACGTTTCACCTGTGCGGCCACAGACACTACATGCCGCGTCACAATCACCCCCACAACGTGCGGCAACGTACCCACAGGGACAATCTGTCAGTACGCCATCACCACTCTCCCATCAACCTTTAATACAAGATAGCTATCGCGCATTGATGCAACCAACTGCCTTGGATTCGACAAATACATATGCAGGCAATCAGTATTTCCCTATATCAGTTGTAAGACATGCAGCCCCACCCCAATTTCCGGCAACGATCAGCGAAGATATCAGCAATTCCATGTACACTGTACAAGCTCCAAAATCTCAAAATCCAAGCCATGGTTATGAGACTGCAACAACCCAACAAGTTTTCTTACCAGTTGAACAACAGCCTTACCCAGACTACGTGCAACCACAGCGTCAACACCCTATAGGATTTTATAGTAATAACACAAACCAAGCGAATATCGGTGGTATGCCGGTACACGTGACCAAATCAGTGACATTCCCTTCAAGTGATAAACAAGTACAGCACCAGCATGATAGTCGAATACAGTCAGGACGACAGGAACAATCTGAGATGTCGAAACCTGTCCATGCTAAACTATTTCAACCTCCAACTAGTAGTCCGTCCGGACGTGCTACCCACCAGATTGCCCGCAACGTTCGCCAGGTACAGACGTAAAAACGCACAAGTTGTTACAGGTCTGCAAACAAGTTGTTGCAAATCTGTTCCCAAGCTGTCGACAACTTGTCTTTGCACTGCTTGTTCCCAGTTGTTGTAACAAGTTTGGAACAAGCTGTTAACAACTTGTAACAAACTTGATGGCATTATCAGACTTGTTACAAGGTTCTTCTAACAAGTCTGATACAGTCATCATATAACAAGAATGTTACAAGGTTGACGACACAAGGTTGTAATAATATTGTTATATCATGACTGTATCAAACTTGTTGGAACAACCTTGCAACAAGTCTGATAATATCAACAAGGCATGTGGTACAACACGATGGCGTCAACGCATCCAGACATGCGCAGAGTGTAATGGGGTCAGAGTGCTGAAACAACCACAGGGGAAGTGAGCTTTGCATTTAAAGCGAGCCTCACACAAACCCTTACCTGCTGCATGTAAAACAAGCCAAAATGTGGCTTTTCATTTGATTGGTCTGCCAGACAAGGAAATTTTCATCTGACTTTTTGATTGGTTAATGCTGAGATATGATACTGGTATTCATGATATATTGAACAGTTTAATTAATTGAAACAGCTGTATGTACAAACGTTATCACATGATTAGAACATTAAATAGTATATTTTATTTTCCAGGACAAAACTGAGAATGAAGAACAACAGCAGAATATGAATAAACGTGACTCCGTTGAGCTTGATGTTCAGTCGATGAGCGAATCTCTTCTCGATGAATCGCCACTTGGTGTCCATAATATAGTGGAAACGTCAAAAGCAGGATCTGGAAGTGCATCTATGGTCAAGATCAAAACTGAGGATAATATTAAAATGGACTTCGAAATACTAGAAAAAATGGAAGCGGCTAAAAAAGCATGGGATCACAGTATCTCTTCTGCATCTGCATCTATACAGACATCCCAGTGGAATGCATCAGTAACGAATGATGAAAATACAGAGTCATCGGAGGTTTCGGTTGTGGATCAAATCTCTATACTTTCACCTGAACCTGAGGAAAGCTCTGAACCTCTTGTTACAACACCTAGATTAAAAAAGCCTATCGCTGGTGGACAACAAAATGCTTGTAAAGTAAAATTACAACAGCAGCAACAGCCTGTGAAACCTCAACCTGTTCGTTCTGAAGTACCCGAGGAATACCCGACTGCGACTACAGGACCAGTGTTAGAGAGTCCAGCTAGTTACACCGTACAACCACATCAAGCGGCTATCTTCACCTCAAAACCAGCACCTCAAGGGTTTACATATTCCTTTGAGCAACAAACACTTGTCCCAATTAGCCATCAGTATGTCCAAACAGATATGTCGAGCATACAGCGACATCACGTTTCACCTGTGCGACCACAGGCACTACATGCCGCCTCACAATCACCCCCACAACGTGCGGCAACGTACCCCCAGGGACAATCTGTCAGTACACCATCACCACTCTCCCATCAACCTTTAATACAAGATAGCTATCGCGCATTGATGCAACCAACTGCCTTGTATTCGACAAATACATATGCAGGCAATCAGTATTTCCCTATATCTGTTGTAAGACCTGCAGCCCCACCCCAATTTCCGGCAACGATCAGCGAAGATATCTGCAATTCCATGTACACTGTGCAAGCTCCAAAATCTCAAAATCCAAGCCAGGCAAATCTCGGTGGTATGCCGGTACACGTGCCCAAATCAGTGATATTCCCGCCAAGTGATAAACAAGTACAGCCCCAGCCTGACATGCGATCACCATCAGGACGACAGGAACAATCTGAGATGTCGAAACCTGTCCATGCTAAACTATTTCAACCTCCAACTAGTAGTCCGTCCGGACGTGCTACCCACCAGATTGCCCGCAACGTTCGGCAGGTACACACGTAAAAACGCACAAGTTGTTACAGGTCTGCAAATAAGTTGTTGCAAATCTGTTCACAAGCTGTCGACAAGTTGTCTTCGCACTGCTTGTTCCCAGTTGTTGTAACAACTTTGGAACAAGCTGTTAACAACTTGTAACAAACTTGATGGCATTATCAGACTTGTTACAAGGTTCTTCTAACTAACAAGTCTGATACAGTCATGATGTAACAAGAATGTTACAAGATTGATGACACAAGGTTGTAACAATATTGTTATATCATGACTGTATCAGACTTGTCGGAACAACATTGCAACAAGTCTGATAATATCATCAAGGCATATGGTACAACACGATGGCGTCAACGCATCCAGACATGCGCAGAGTGTAGAGTGTGAAACAACCACAAAGGGAGCGAGCTTTGCGTTATCGCTATAGTAGACACCTATATATATATATATATATATATATATATATATATATATATATATATATATATATATATATATATATATATATATATATATATATATATATATATATAT